ACCTCAGTGTTGTCATCTGTAAACTAGGCGTTTTTCGCGTATAGCTGCTGTGAGGATAGAGAAAGAGAATAAATTGAAGTCCTCATATTTAGTGATGGGTAGCAATGATTATCACCATATTCTTCTCCATCTTTTCACCATCATCACCACCAACTAACTCAGAGAGACAGAGGATCCAAGATTCTGACCGGTTAGCCAACTATCAAAAGGGTTCTAAAGGTTCTGTTGCTAAGCCTGGACAGAATAAGCAAATTCTGAAAATATGAGATTCCAAGACAGAATTCTCATAGGAATCTGCTTCTAGCAAAGTTCTCAGTGGGACTTCCCTGGCGGCTCCGTGGTTAAGACTCCACGCTCCCAATGCAGGGGGCCTGGGTTCGATCCCTGGTCAGGTAAATAGATCCCACATGCTGCAACTAAAGATCCCGTGTGCCACAACTAAGACCCGGTGCAGCCAAATACATAAATAAATAAATATATAAAAAGAAAAAAAAGTTCTTAGCAAAGAAAAAAGGGTAATTACTGCCCATGAGCTCTGAGCAAACCCCAAATACCCTTCTCACCTCTGCCAGCCAGGGTGAGAATTCCATGAGAATCTTGGAACTTCCCATTTCCCATTTCTATACTACCAAATGGTTATTATAAATGTGCTAAGCCCCAGGCATTTCAGAAAATCCCAAGTAGAGAAAATCCATTTTCTTACGAAATCAAACCAACTCTTACCCTTAGTAATTCTCCCCTTCCTGAGCCCACTGGGCTGCCAGCCCCACCTTGCACTGCAGCAGTCCAAGTAGAATATAGTAAAGCCAGACTGCCTGAGTTCAAATCCTGATCTCGCCACTGTTTCCCTCTGTGACCTTAGGCAAGTTACTTAGCCTCTCTGTGCTACACTTTCCTCACCTATAAAAGGATAATAATAATAGTCTTACTCTAAGAGGTACAATACCCATACACGGTACATGCTCAATAAACTCAGCGATGATTATCCGTATTCTAAACACGCCAGTAGTAGCCAGTGCGCAAGGTCAGAAGTCACATCTTTGGGACCTGGGCTCCTTGGGGGCTTGTCACACCCTCACTCCTCTTCCAAGAACAGACTTTCCCTCTTAGGAGAGACAGGAGCCAACAGCCTGGGCAGAACCACAGACCAGAGAACGAGCTGGCAGCAGGGGACTCCAGAACCACGGCGGCCACAGGCCGCAGCTAGCAGTGAGAGGCCCAGGTTGGGAAGCCTGTGATGAGGTGCGCCTTCACCAAGGAGCCGGCTCTGGACAGACCCACGCCCGAGTGATTCCCAGGGGTAGCAGGCGACGTGGGCTTCCTCCTTGGGCAGCTGTCAAGCTAGTGTTGTCTTCTCTTACCCTCAGTTTTCCCGTGTCCTAAACGAGGGCCACGGATTTCCAGGTCTTCCCAGGACCGAGGTGGAGGGAAGGGTGTTATAAGGCCCGCAGGCTTCCTGTCCATTCACAGCACCCAGGTCTCAGTCTTAGTTCCCACTGCTTACCAGCGCCCCTGCTCTCTTCTCACCCCTGCACACACCTCCCAGCACGGGGCCTTCCCCTTCCGGAGAGGCCAGCACAGGCTCAAAGAACCGAGAAAGGAAGAAGTGCTTGAAGTTCTGTTTTGTGTGGTAGGAGGAAGAAAGGGATGTGTAGCCGGTCTTAGCATCCATTTCCCTTTCACAGGAGGACCTTCCTCATAGAAGCCAAGTAAAGGGAGAGAAATGAAAACTGAAGAGGGTTTCCATGGCTGGGATGCTATTCCCCAGCACCCCTCGAAGACATTCCCTGTGTTCAGCAGGTAGGCCGCATATCTGCGCAGTTAGCATCCTGACAACCTGGGTTCTCATCCTCTTCCCATGCATCCTGCTGATTCGACATCACCTTACAGTTTGTCTTGAGGCTTTTCCAACTCAGAAGTTCAAACTGTGTGATCTGTACACCAGGCTGCAACTTATAAAGGGCTTTCATGTAAAGCATCCCCTTTAATCTTTGCAAAAAACCTGTAACATATATATCATCCCCATTTTATAGCCACAGAAACTGAGGCATAGAGAGATTAGGTAACATTTCTGAGATCACCTGGCGGGAAAGCAGCAGCACCAGGTCTTGGCTCCATGTTGGATGCTCCTGTCACCACATTACAGATGGCTCTGGCCACAATTCACCCCCCCCCGGCCCTTCGAGCCTGGGTTAGACATCCCTCCTAAGCGGCCCGCAGGCTTCTCCAGAACCCAGTCCTTACCATGCAGAACTCAACTCCCTGAGGGCAGGGACTGTGTGACTGGGCTCCTTCTCAGGGCTATTACCCAGCACCTGGCACATGCTCCATCGATGGGCACCTAATAAATAGCTATTATGTGGATGAGTGAATGTTCGACCAATTAACAAAGCGACGAGACTCTGAATAGCCACAGCTGCAAAGCCTGGCCCCTACGAACTCTGATTTTGATCCCACCACATCTGACTTCTCAATCCTGGTCTCTGCTTGCCGAGGAGATACTGAGTCTCACCCAGGGCAATGCTGACTTGAGGAGGAACCAAGAGCTCCTTCAAAGCAGCTTCCTAGCCACCATCAAAGGTTCAGCAGGGGCCAGGACACCCGGTGAGGCAGGCTTCCCACTTCTCGTTAACAGCCACAACAACTGGCATCTGTGCCCCTGCTCTCACGCAGGCAGGGCTCGCACAGTCCCCAGACACAACACGTACATCAGGGCTCCGGAGACGATGGGGAACACAGAGGTGACCACTTCCCACTAAATAGGAACAGGTGGAAGTGGGGCAGGGGCCAGAGTCATCAGCCTTGGGAAGGAGGCAGCCAGGTACAAGCACCACCAAACAGAATCCTTCTCCAGCCATGCAGGGATGGAAGAGGCCAGGAGCAAGGAACTCAAACGCAGCAGTGCCGTGTGAGGCCCAGCAGGACCCAGCCAGGCTCTGCTAATGCCGAGGACAAACCCAGGGACAGCAGCTGCCCCTCCCAGTCAGAAGACGAGTCAAGGGAGAGTCTGCAGACCCTGACTGCAAACACTGCAGGGTGATCCAGGGGCTGAGAGCTCTGGGAAAGCACGGAGTGGAGAGGCACATCTGAAGACTTCCTGGAGAGACAGAAAGGAGCTTTGGGCACAGCAGGCTACTTCCTTCGGGACAGTGAGTCACATCTAATGTTCACACACAGTTCTTAGCGTGGCTCTCAAGAATGTAAGCTCCTTAAGGGAAACAACCATATCTTATTTGTCTTTGAGAGCCCAGCTCAGGACAAGGTACAGAGTGGGTTCAACGGAGCTTGGCAGGAGAAAAGACAGAGTGACCCATGTGGGGGAAAATGCCAGAAACGGAGTGGAAGGAAGAGCCCAGAGGAGAATGGATGAGCTTCACGGCAGGTGAGAAATGAGCAGGGACCAAGGGGGAAGGAAGCCAGGGCTGACGGGTGGGAGCTCCGTGGGAGCCCGGAGGACAGTGTGGAGCGTGGGCGGTGAGAGGCGAGTCCAGGAAGACCCAGCTCTCCCAGTGTCAGCAGGAGACAGTCCCAGGAAGGGAAGTGAGAAAAAAACAAGTGACACGGAGGGAGGGAAGAAAAACAGTCCTGAAATAACAAACACCAAACAGCAGGCCCTCTGCTGAGGCAGGAGTCCAGAGCCCCAGGAGGCAATTATCAGGGATTCACAAACATGGCAATTACAGAAAGGAAACAGAGGCCGCAGAAGCTGGCCGCCAGCTGCGTCCGCCTCCAGCGGGGCAGCCGCTCAGTGGGAACACAGACCCCAGCCTCCAGACTGGCTGCCGAGTCGAGTCCACACTTCCTTCCGCAAAGGGGGCGGAAAAGTGGAGGAAACAAGAGTGCCCAGGCTCAGTTGCTATTTGTGGTTCAGGGAACCACGGAAGCCCCACAATCTGGTCTTCTGCAAGCTCCCTCAGTCAGGATGCCACTTGGAGAAAGGGACTGATTTGAGAGACCTCCAAAATCTGGCCTGGCATGGGAGCAACGGCTGCAGTGCGGGGTAGCAGAGGAGCTTACTGACCCCAGGATCCCGGGAGAAAGGGAGAGGCAGACCATCCACTGCTCCCTCCTGAAACAGCCCCTGCCTCTCGGCGCCCACTCGGTGTGCGGGCCGTCCAGAACGCCGGGGTCCCCGCTGGCAGAGAGGTGGAGGCCTGGCTGCTAGTTTCGCCTGGGCACTTCTACCTAGGTGTGGCCATCAATAAAGCAGCTAACAACCCATTCCCGCCTCTCTACGGTAAGACTTAATGTTTGTTTTTAAGGTCTTTTAAGATGTCCTTGTACTTTCTGCCAAACGAGAGCTTCCTGCTTCAGTGTCTCCAAAAAGCTCAAGACGCAGGTTCTTACATCCTGTCCCAGAGTCACCTTCCCAAAGGGCTCCATCCCCGCCCTCGGAGAAGCCCAAGCAAGCTCCACCTGGGAGTCCTAAGCTCCAGGCTCCATGGCAACCGAAGCTCTGGTCTCCCAGTTGCCCTCTGCACAGGTCCTCCATTGCCTTCTGACCAGCAAGACAAAAACAAATTCCCGCAGAGGCCAAGGACGCTAGGACTCCAAAGCCCCCTGGAAACATCCCTTCCCCGGCCCAAACCACCCACTCAGAGCCTGCGCCGCTGCTTCCTTTCCCGATGTGCACGGACAGCGCGGAGTTCTTCAGGGACCGAGATGAGCCCCCTTCCAGGCCAGGGAAACGCCCGAGGGGCAGGAGGACCGGGACAGGGCACTGCGGGACCGCCGGAACCGGGGCGGGCGCCGCGAGGCTGGAACCAAAGGTCCGGCCGGGAGCCCGCCGAGCAGGAAATTCCACCTGTCGGGTCGGCGCCGCGGCCACAAGCCGGCAGCGTAGCGGCTCCCTTGGCCGAGAGAAGCTCGGTGCTGCCGGCCCCCTGGGACCCCCGGCCCCCAGCCCCCTGGCCCGCCGGTCCCCGGCCCCCCCAGGCCCCCGGCCGCGGACCCCCGCGCGTCCCACCCCGAAGGCGCCCGCGCCGCCCGCGCTCGCCCACCTCCGGCCGCGAGGTGTACTTGAGTCCCGCGCCGAGGCCCCCGGAGCCGCCTGTGCCCCTGCGCGCCCGCTCGCTCTTCATGGTCCCGAAGGCCGTGTGGCTCAGGCCATCGCCGCGGGGCCGGGGCGCGGGGCGGGCCTGGTTCCGGTCTCAGGCCCAGCGCTCCGGCCGCCGAGGCTCTGCCGGGCCCTTCCTGTCGCGCACAGGTAGTTTCAGGGTGTGGCTCCCGGGCCGCCACGCCCGCCACGCCGCCGCCGCCGCACCTTCCCGGGCCCGCGCACTCCTCTCCCCTCCCTCCCCTCCCCTCCTCCC